TAGCATACATCCTTTTCAGTTTCAACAAGAATAAATAGTCCTAAAAAAATTAAGTAGTGGATAGAACCTAATACATATAGCAAGCAATTAATAATCTATGAATTTCATATGAACACAGATTCAAAGTGCAATAAAAACGGAAAAAGACATTCAAAAAGAAAACTAAAGCAAGCTAGTAAAATACAAGTAAATGATGGTTCATTCATGACATATTTACTTCAAAGAATGACTTAAAATGAGATTAGAAAGTCTGAGCGCACCATTCAGATCTTACAAGACATGCTACGTGTTTGTGTTATGGATTTTGGGGATTCATGTGTTCAGTTCATACCGCTCGCAGAGTTCGCCTACAACAACAACTATCAATTGAGTATTCAGAGGGATCCTTATGAGGCCTTATATGGGAGGCGGTATCGTTCTCCAGTTGGTTGGTTTAAGCCGGGGAAGGCTAGGTTGTTGGACACTGATTTGGTTCGGGATGCCTTGGAGAAACTCAAGTTGATTCACGATCGACTTGGTACAATACAGTCTGGGCAGAAGAGTTATGCTGATCGGAGGACTGGTGATGTAGCATTTTATGGTGTGAGAGAGGGTTTTGCTCAGAGTTTCACCCATGAAGGGTGTGATGAGGGCCGGGAAGAAGGGCAAGTTGAGCCCTAGGTATATTTGTGAATTTGAGATCTTGAGAGAGTTAGTAAGGCGACCTACCGACTTGCACTACTACCCAGTTCATCGTGAGTTCAACCAGTGTTTCATGTTTCCACGCTTCTGAAATATTATGGTGATCCGTTACATGTATTAGATTTTATCTCAATCCAATTGGAGAAGGATTTGACTTATGTTAAGGAGCCGGTGGCTATTTTGGACAGGCATATCCGGAAGTTGAGGTCAAAGAACATTACTTGTAAAGATTCAACGGAGTGGTCAACCGGTTGAGGAGGCGACCTGGGAGATCGAGAACGATATGCGGAGTCGTTATCCTCACCATTTTGGCACTTCATGTATGTCTTTATGCAGTTCCAGCACGAACGTTTGCTTTAAAAGGGGGAGAATGTAACGACCCGACCGGTCGTTTTGTGTATTTGAGCCCTATTTCCCCTTTTCAATCTTCATATATGTGTATTTTTGGTATTATGACTTGTTTAGTTTCGTTCTGGGATGGTTTTGGGTTGATTTGGACCCTTTGGTTCTTGGTCTAGAAGCTTAAGTTGGAAATATTGACCAAAGATTGACTTTTGTGAAAATGACCCCGGAATGGTGTTTTGCGGGCTCGCAGATGCGGAAACAACCTCCCAATTGTGACCACTACCCAGCCTAGCGAAACCTCTCATCTACGCCTCCCAGGCCACTTTTGCGGCTCCGCACCTGCGGCCAATTCCTCGCAGGTGCGGTTACATCAGAACTGAACCCAACAGATTTCTCCAAGTCCAAACTTCAATCCGAATCACACCCGAGGACCCCAGGACCCCATCCAAACATACCAACAGTTCCTAAAAACAATATGAACTTAGTCGAAGGCTCAAATCACATAAAACAACATTGAAATCACAAATCACACCCCAATTCAATCCTAATGAACTATTGAACTTCCAACTTCTAAAACCAATGCCAAAACATATCAAACCAACTCCAATTAACCTCAAATTTTGCACACAAGTCATAAATGACACAATGGACCTATTCCAACTCCCGAAACCAACATATAAGCTCGGAAACAATAAAGTCAACTCTTAGTCAAACTTCTCAACCTTCCAAATCTTCAACTTTCGAACTTTCACCAATTCAAGCCAAAACGACCTACGGACCTCCAGATCAATATCCAAAGATACTCCTAAGTCCAAAATCACCATACAAAGCTATATAAACCATCCAAACTCCATTCCGGAGTCGTTTACTCATAACTCTACATCTGGTTAACTCTTTCAGTTTAAGCTTCCAACCTTGAGACTAAGTGTCCCAGTTCATTCCGAAACATCTTCGGAACCAAACCAACCATCACAGCAAGTCACATAACCACAAATGAACGTAGAATAAGCAATAAATGGAAAAACGAGACTATAATATTCAAAACAACCGGCCGAGTCGTTACAGGCGTCCTCTTCATAGCGCTTAAAAAATATAAAAGTGACCCCTTTTATTTAAAAGTCAGACATCCAAAGGTACAACTTTAAGACATCGTTCATGAAACCATGCATCCTAATATGTATTTCAAGTCTATACGACTAAATATGAGCACTTAGGTAAATTCTTATAGTGCGAAAAAGATTAGTACTCTGATAAATCCACTACATTACCAAATAATATCTAGACAAGTGTGATTACGGTACTTATATTTGCAGTACTTATATCTTTCTCAAATGAAAGAATTCTCTCTATCATCCTCCATGATAAGGAAAATATCATCTAGCTTGGAGATGAAAAATGAGTAGGTAGGGGATTGGTCCAGCATTTACTCTGACTATCCTCGAAAATCTCTTTCTTGCCCTTGTCAAATCTTTTCTTCGGAAGACATGCAAGGACACTCTCCATATAAGTACCCATAGTACTCTTCTTCTAAAGTCATCCAATGAAATGGCTAATGTTCGGTTGCTTTGTTTCCCGATCATAAAGTTAACTGGATGCAATAAATTCCTGTACTTTATCATAATCACAAGTACAAAATTCCTGGTTATTAACATCCTCGGTCTCTATGCCTGTGAGGTTATAAGAGTTTCGCTTACAACTAAAAATTCAAGAGTCAAAACCCAGAGATTAAAAGTTTCATATGAATACTAAAAACCCGAGATCAAGCTTTCTATAATAGTGGTACTTTTTCAGCATCGACCTATCATTAACGAAAGGAAAATAAGTGGCAGAGTGGTCATCTAAATCCCTAAGTTCTGCAATCTTTTTCCCTTCGCTCGATTTTTGTCCATATTGGCTTTTTCCGGCAAGGTTTATAATGAGTAGATGCGAGGGTGAAAAAGATTAAAGCTTTCATTTCCCGATCAAATCACAGTGAGTAATCGAAAAGTGTTAGGACTATCTATATTAGTGAAAAATAGACTCGTCACGCGGGTCTATAAAATGGCGACACGTGTCAGCAAAGCTATGAGAAAAGAGAAGAATGATATGTAGAGATTATATGTGAAACACCCTCGGGACCGAACATACTCGTACCGTGCCTATTAGCCTCGAAACTGATCATCATAGAACAACCCGGATCAGGTACGATATAATAGTTCATAATTACTAATGAGGAAAGATTAAATTAATCCCGAATTATGTTGGATTTAACATCATTACGCCATAAGTTATAAATCAATTATGTAACGTACAATAAATGCAATAAATAGTTGTAATGGGTAGAACAAGGCAATCAATTGCGAAATTGACTCAATAGGCACTAGATTGACTCAACAAGTACGGAGTTGACTCAACAGATACGAGATTGACTCATCAGTTACGGAATTTCAGCATTTACTAAGCTGTTACAAGTCTTCCAAATGTAATGAATGGATTGAGTAAATGCTCATAATAGACCCATGATTCAAGGATAATGGTTACTTAGATCTAGTTGTATAAATAGACACACTTTACCACCATTGTAATCATCTAGTTTTTCTTCTCTACAGTTCTATACATTGGAATTCATAGCATCTTGCTCCGAATTTAGCCGTAATTCGGCTCTTCAAGCTCTGTTTGGCTCATCATACTATCAAGGATCATCCAATAAAAAATATTTATTCTCTGCTTTTTTTTTATTATAGTATCTGTCATTGAATTTATTTTTCACTTCTCTATCATGTGGTATTAACAAAAACTTATATCTTTCGGATTGAACCGGTTGCTTGTGACCCTTCATATAAAATTAATTGCTTTGACATTAAAAATTATTTTTTGGGTTAAACAACATGAAATTAAAGAAAGGTTTGTCTTATGTCAGAGTGTGGTTTTATTTGACCATCTTGATTAATGTGGTGTTAATGGATATATCATGAGATATATAATAAAAAATTATTTCTCTTATTTAACAAGCTCTGTCCAACCTGGTGAAAAGTTATTTTCTTCTTAGATTTTTGTACTTATTGACCATTATAATTTCAAGAGTTTCTATTCATGCTGTAAAGAATATTGACACTTAGGTCACCCTACATATAATGGATTTAATTTAATTATATGCATTGACTATAAATAATTTGTACAGTACTAACATGATGTTTTAACATGTTGAAGCATGCAATCTCATTTGTTGTCCAGATTAATGATCTCACTTTTGGCTATTTAGCTCCTAATTGTGCAAGAATTCTTTTAAACTATCACTGTATGAAAGTTATACTCAACAATTATATTTAACTTTATGTAATAATCATTGACTGCTTATCTCGAAAGAATGGTTAAAAACTTGATATTAGCATATTAAACTACACTAGTAGTTGTATAAAAAGTATCGCCAAATAGCAAGACGAATTCATGTGAATTGTTCGAAAAGAGAAGAAAAGAAGTAAAGAGAGTTATTTTTTGCTGCCAAGAAAAGAAGAAGGTTATGGAAAATTTGAATTTCTACTGCCAAAAGCAAAAGTAAACCATGTGAACTGTTCAAAGAGAGAAGAGAAGAAGTAAAGAGAGTTACTGTCAATTAGCTAGAGTAACCCATGTGATTGCTTGAAGATGATAAAAAAAGTGAAGAAAGTAAAATATCACTGCCAAGAAAAGAGGATAGTTATAGAAAATATTAATTTTTACTGCCAATAGCAAGAGTAACCCATGTGAATTGTTTGAAAAAGAAAAAACAAGTAAAAAGAGTAATAAGTTATGTCTGCCAAGGAAAGAAGGTTATGGGAAACATTAATTTCTACAGCTAAATATGGAAAGAGAAAACCATGTGATTTGTTTGAGACGAGAAGTAAAGAAGTGATGGAGATTGGCACATGCATGGAGGCATTTCAGAACCCTAGCGTGGAAGCAAGTAAAATAGTTACTGGCATTGGCATTATAAATAGAGACGAACTATCAGACCAACGTAACTCATTCACCTCTACTTGCTTCTACAGTCTAAGTAATACGACAGTCTACTATAATTGCTTTCTCTCGGCAAAAAAGAACTCCTTTCTTTTGCTTTTTCTCACCAGCCTTTCTAAGAAGACAAATGTATTATTTCATTCTATTTGTCTTTGCATCTCTTTCTTCGTTGTTTTAACTAAAATTTGGCAATGCCTTGTTTCTGTTGAGTTTAACAGAAGGAATTTTTACATATGCAATATAAGCCGGGAACCAACAATTGATTATTTGAATGTTTTGCAGGATGGTAACCTTTTTCTTAGCTTTGCTAGCATCTTCAGCAATGTTGACAGCTATTATGGCCCAACAACCACAAGAACTAAAAGTGAACATCACCATACTTCACAGCGCCACTGCTGAAGGCGCACGTAAAATACTTGACTGCACAATATATTAAGCAACAGAATCACATGTATACTAACTATATAATATTACTATTACATGAGCTTAGGTTCTTCCACAAAGATGCTTCCACCACAAGTCACATTTTCGGGAATTCTTCATGACGATCCCAGAAGTAATCCAGGTGAAGCTATATAATATTACTATTTTCTTTCTTTGTTTTTTCTCTTCGGATTTTAGCGGCTACTAATTTGTAAACGTATGAGTTGGCAGACTTTTACAATTGGAATAGAGTTAGGGTATGGGTCATCATTCACAGGTGATGTTGAAGATGTTGATCCTGTAAGTAAGTAGTACTGCATCCCTAGTATTACTTCTTTACAACTTTTCTGATATGAAAAGTTTTCCAATCTACATTAGGATACCAAACTTTATTATAGAGGAGCAAGAATCTTCAGAGCCATTATGAATGATTTATCCAGAAAAGGAATGCAAACGGCTGAAAATGTAAGATTCAACTGATATCGCTCTCTAACCCCATATAGTATAACACAAGTCACATACTATGCTGCTTTACAACTTTTTTCCCAATTGGGCTTAATTCTGAAACCAAAATGCATTTTATATGTAGGCAATCCTAACCGGAACTTCAGCTGGAGGATTGGCTACAATCTTGAATTGCGATAAGTTCAAGTCTCTCCTTCCAGATGATGCTAGAGTAAAGTGCGTTGCAGATGCAGCTTTCTTCATCAATGCGTGAGCTCTTCTTGCTATGCGATAACTCAAGAAATTAAATGATTTCGATGTCTTATTGATTTATGTCTATGCCGTTGAAACTCAAGCGGTTTATAATTTATGCAGCAAGACAATATCTGGTACTTATGATATTCAAGATGAGTATAGGAGAGTGGTTACTTTACATGTAAGTCCCAGTGTTTTTCGTTTTAGTAAGATATATATGGTTAATAAGTAACTGCAAGTCAATATTCATTTGCTTTAATATTTCTGTTTCTCATTGTTTAAGGGATCGGTTAAGAATTTGCCTCCATCTTGCACCTCTATAATGGAACCAAGTCTGGTAAGAATTTAAGTTTTAATTTGGAAAAAAAAAAAAAAACTTTTCCTTGTGCTATATTTTTTTTGCCCTCTAGTAACATTAGTTTTCCTTAATGATGGTACAGTGCTTTTTCCCTCGAAACGTTGTTCCATACGTTCAGACTCCACTTTTTATAATCAATTCACAATATGACTCTTGGCAGGTCAACGATACAAATGCCGGTTTCTTTCCTTTAATTTCTTTTTTTTTTGTTTTCTTTAAAATCTATCTCTTTCCTTTTGATAATTCAAAATACTAATTCCAGGTTAATCACATTTGGGTTCCTAAATACCTCGATCCTCAGCATGTTTGGAAGAATTGCAATAGTCATATAAGTAACTGCACATTTAGCCAGCGTATGATCATTCAAGGTTGGATTAATAATACATACCTTCCAATTATATAAGTAATGGCTTCTGCTTTAATTCTTTTTGTTTCATTTTTTTTTTTTTGTTATTGAATATAGGTTACGGAGTGGAGTTCTTGAAGGCGTTCTTGGGACTCACCCCTTCGTTTACGAGGGGTTATTTCATAACCTCTTGTTATTCCCACGGTGAAATTGTATGGACGAATTACTGGTTCAGTCCTACCTCTCCAAGAGTACTTAATAAAGTAATCTTTCTTTTGTTTTATCCATATAATGTTTGAATAAATGTGCTTTTTTTTTGTTTTTTGATTTATCATGTGTGTCTATCATTCGTAATTTTAATTTACGAGTTAATAACAGATTTTATTGTAACGTTTTATCTTGTAGACAATTGCGAAAGCTGTTACAGATTGGTACTTTAATAGAGCGGGGTTCCATCAATACATCGACCCATACCCATGTGCTAGAGATTGCGCCTTGTCACCTTCATGAAACTTTTTTAAGTAGTCTTGTTCTAAATGCTCTGCTGAGCTGTGTCGAAGTACTGTTCCTGTATTCAGTGAATGAAAAATTAACTTTTGTTTAGATTCAAATTACCGTTTCTTTCACTGGTATGAAGTTCTTGCCATTGCTGAGTATATATATATATCAAACCATATTGGCAAAGTTGGCTTTGTTATTTCACAGCTTTCTTTAAAATCAATGAAAGGATAGAAGCGAGTTTTTGGCAGAAAACATCCCTCATCTATACCTTAAGCTTAAACTACATCCTTAGACTAATACATTGAACAAAGCGAAGCTTAACCTAAAACATCATTCCGTTAGGGCTCTGTCGTAAAATTAACAGAGGTACCCATCACGCGTAACTCATGTGAGTTACACATTTACAATTATCTTATCTCTTCCCTAAGAAACGAAGATATGATGAGCTCTCCCGTGAACAAAAACGTCTACATGACTACAATGGCGTTGGAAGGGAAAGAATTAATCTATAATAACTTTTTGTATCTACCTCAAAAGCGAAGATTGATTTAAAGAATGTTCAAATTAAGACTTTTGAAAAATCTAAGAAAATTCAGGAGAAAACTAGGCCAACTCAATAATAAGAAGCTATGCCAATAACTGAACAAGGTCCAGCAAAAACCCACAAAAGTTGCACATGTTGGTTGGGTCTGTTAATTTTTTTATAGACACCTAACAGAGAGATGAATCTTGTTAATTATTGGATACTTGGAGGATGTTTTTTGTTAATATAGTAGTTTTAAGGATGTAGTGCAGATTTGGAATATAGTTTAAGGATGTTTTTGGCCATAAACTCATAGAAAGTCAGACAAAGTTAATGAAATGAAGGAATAAAAGGTGCATATAGATAAATTTGCCTACCCCGTCTTTCTAATAAATTCCATATATGGTTGGTTATTTTTTTAAAACATATATCAAAAGCCATCAGTGTTGATGGGGATTATTGTCTAGGCCCAAAATTCAAGTAGTCGTGATGACACCTAATCCTACCCGCTAGTTAAGCCAATTAACAATTATCCAATCTAATAAGATTTATTAAGAGAAGAAATGATAAAACAATTGCTTTTATACAAAGGATTTCCCAAGAACTAGTAGTACAAATCATGAGCTTCTAAAATTTGGAGTTTACAAAGCTAGTGTAAAATAAATACATCATATGTCCGAATTATAAATTAACAAATTTTTCATAAGTCTGGAGCTACCATGAACAAGAGGTAGTTATAACTGAAACACATGTACGCCTTCAATGCTAGCTCTCGTCATGCACAACAACGTCATCATCCAAATCTTCAACACACAAGGTGCAGAAGTGTAGTATGAGTACAACCAACACCATATATTCAATAAGTGACAAACCTAACCTTAAGTAGAAAGTAGTGACGAGGTGGAACAGAGATCAGAGTCCAACACCAATAGCCAACAACAGTTCATAAGAACATAATAATAATGGTACAAGAAACATACTCAGATATAAGACACTCAACTCGTTTACAATACCGGAAAAATAGGCATGCTTTTCAAATATATCAGTGAAAACCCAATTATTTATCCGAAATCACCAAAATATGAGTAGGTTTGGAAAACTGTAATTTTTACCAAAACTTTTCAACAATAATTAAGATGTTTCATTTTTCAGATAGCATGAGGAAAGTAAATCTCTATGCAATAGAGAAATTTTATTGTGTGCCTATACAACTGACACTAGTTGTGTGAGACTTCTTTTTATCTCACAAATTTGTGGACCCTAATCTTACACTTCTGGGTCCACAAAAATCTGGGTCATACAACTAGTGTCAGTTGTATGAGACACAAAATAGAATTTTCCTTAAATAAATTTTATTGTGTGCCTCATACAATTGACATTAGTTGTGTGAGGCTCCTTTTTGCCTCACAAATTTGTGGACCCCAACCTTACACTTCTGGGTCTACAAAAATCTGGGTCCACAAAACTCTGAGACAAAAAAGATGCCTCATACAACTAGTGTCGGTCGTACGAGACACAAAATAAAATTTTCCTCATGTAATACATGATTTTGTAACATAATAAAATATTAAAATAAAATTTTGAGTAAATAATTTTATATAAAAGAATAAAGTATAAATTTCTATGAATAATCAATGCAAACGAATTGTGGCTTGTCTGTGGATGTGAAGATGATTGGATCGAGGGAGAAATAGACGTTTCTTTAGTAGTATTATTTGCTATTTCGGTCACTTCGCTAGAATTCCTTTTTCAGTAATTGTTTTGTTGGTTTTATATTGTACAACTTTATCTCGGTAGAAGATAAAGTTTTTTCGGAAAAAAGATGAAGATAAAGATTTGCTAAAACAACGTTGAAGCATTTGCATCTAGTATTTTTCATCTCCCTCTTGTTCTTGCACCCCATTCTTCTTCTTCTTCTTCTTTTACACTCTTTTCGAATACCTCAATTGTAATTAATATCTTTCGTGACTCAAAAAAAACTATTGCACCCTAATGACATCTTGGGAGTGAGCATAACGCCTAGCCATTCCACTATAATTCACATATAGAGTCTGATATGAATTATATTGGTGCACCTGCTTGTGTATTTTTTGTTGGATTTTGTTGTTTAATAACAAAAGAAGTGTGAATGAAAAATGGTGGGAAAAGAAATGGAGGGAAGTGAAATTTTGAATGAGTTCACTAATGCACTTTGTCCCTCATTGGTAGAAGGAAAGAAAATCTTTGTGTATATAAAGAGAAGCTCATCTTTTAGCTCTTAAAGAGCTAAGAAGAAGGCAAGCCTCGCGCCGTCGTCGTCGCTCGGCTCGTCGTCGGCTTCGGCTTCGGCTTTGTCAAAGATTGATTGATTATTCTTTTTGGACAAAATTCTTTTCAAATATTTAATTAATTAATTAAATTAATTAAAGAAAATTCAATCCGGAATAACCCATGACCCGCGACCCGGTCCGGTCCGGCCCGTTTTTCTTTCCCGGATTATTTTAAATCCATTTTAAATTTTCCCGCAATATTTTCAACAGCCATGGCTGTTCTGAAACAGTGTCACACCTGTTCCAATAGCTATGGCTGTTCTGAAAGGTTGCAAACCTTTTCAGAAACAGCACCGAAATTGGCTATAAATACACCTTCAAATCCCAGAATATTTACTTACGAAATTTTCTGATTATCTTCTTCTTCTTCTGCACAAAAATTGCGGTGTGTTTCACAGTCTTCGAGTGGTTTGCTGTTCATCTGCGTTTTTGGTACCGATACGCTGGTGAGTTAAATCTTTCTATCCTGGGAGGATATATTCTAGAACCTCGGGTACTTGAGGGGAATAATTTCCTTAAGGACACACTGTGTATTCAGTGGGCTTGATTTGTTCCTATACCGTTTTCAGAATTTATTTTGAAGAAGTTTACTGTTTTCGGAATTTAATTTCTACTAACTTTCTGTTTCTGTTTTCAGAAAGATTATTATTTTATTTATTTACAGCAATACAGATATATAACATTTTTATGGCGTTGTAGGCATCAGTTCTTCTTTTGCATTACTATCTTGGATATCGGTATTTCATTTTATGTCTGGTTTGCTACTACTCTGTCAGTTAAAATATTATTTGCTGAAAGTAAAAAAAATAATTGAATTTTGCCATTACATATCTAATGTAAGCTTAATAATTTCATGTGGTTTCATCAGGATGCAAATCATGCAAATGACTATTTTATCTGCATGATTGCTATTATTGATCTTATTATTCAATTACAAAATATTGTGTGGTACTATATATAGTCACAAAGAAAGATTCTCTTAATTAAGGATTCCTATTAGAATGTGATTTAAATCTATATAATATGAAAAATAGTTACAAAGTAAAATGACATGCATGGTTAGTATTGGCTTACTCATGTTCCGGTAACACCTTGTGATTATTTCTTTCACTTGGCTTGTTTGGAAAGATGGATTAACATAAAGATGGGAGCGTCCAATCATATGACAGCGTCCTCTTCCACCATCATGAATAGATATGATCAAGTTATTGTACTGACCAAAGAAAATATTCAAGTTAGTGCAAGTTTTCTTAGACTAACATGCACATGATAAAACTAAGTAAATTACGCACAAATTTTCAACTGTTGGCCCAAAAACAGGTAAAGTTTTGAAGATTAAAAAAAGAACTCAGACATGGGTCAGGTCCATCTTGTGAAGCACAGTCATGATTAACCTGTACATGTGAGATGCACGTGAAGGAGATAAATCTAACTGATCAAGAAGCAATATCTCCTGATCTGATCGAAAAGGCTGCATATTGGATAAGGAGAGAAAGACTCCTTACATGAAGAGAACACAATTTAGGAAGAAGATAGTGTTAGAGTTTGAGATCACCTTGAACTCTTCTACGATAGAAGAGGAGCATTTGAATCCCAGTCAATCTCTAATTACTAACCCATTAAATATCAGTGTCGTTCTCTTTTACAGACAATGCACATAAGCAGAAGTTAAACTTAAATTGAGAGCAAAAGAGCAAGGCGATTTTGCATGCAATTTATGTGTGATTCGAGTGTGCAATCCTGAAGCTACTTGAACGAGATAGAAGAACAAGTTCCAAGTGTCTATCTTTAATTCTAGTTCAATTGTAGTAGGTGTTTTTACTTTGTACCTTTCAACTTTCATATAAGCAATTGTATTAGGTACCTAGAGTGTTCAAGTTAGAGTTAACTTGAAGTTGTCGCAACAGTTGTGGCTGTGTGCCACAACGGGATTAGAGTTAATCCTTAGGTTTACAAAGAGTTCTGTAAATGCTGTTTTGGCTCAGTAATTTTAGTGGAAATTTGGGAAAATCCTACTGAGTAGTAGGTCATGGGTTTTTCACCTTTTGAGCCAGGTGTTTTCCACGGAAAAATCTCTATGTTCTTTATTTTCTTTATTAATTATTCTGCAAACAGTAGTAGTTGGAACACATAGAAGAACCAGGTCCTTCTATAGTTCAGTTAAGCGAAAATTGGGTACCACACAAATCACCCCCCCCCCCCTCTTGTGTGGTATTGACGTTTAAAACATCAATTGGTATCGGAGAGGGTTATCCTTGAAGAGGTTAACACCTTAGGAAAAG